GAAGTTGCAGAGTTCGGAAACTCGTGGAAAACGGAAAAGTACGTGACAGTTGCACAAACGGAGGAAGCAAACAAGCGCAAGGAGATGATTTAATCTTCATTTTCACAAGGTTCGAACATCGGAAAGAAGAACAGCAAATGATAGATCACAAGAAGTAGGTGACCTTAGAAATTCCAAAAAGGTTGTGGTAACTAAAGATCAAGACATCATGACTATGCTTCGATCCTTATTTTCACGCTGTTAGGGCTTATAGGATCTTACAAACTCCAAATATTTATGGCAACTAAAGGTCAAAGTAACCTAAGTCTACTTCAATTTCCATTTTCATGCTATCAGAGGTTATCGAATTTTACATACTCCAAATATTTCTGATAACTAAAGGTCAAAGCATACTAACTCCACTTCAATCCTCATTTTCACGCTATTAGAGGTTACCGAATCTTACAAACTCCAAAACCCCAGTCATCCGTAAAACCGAAACACCATACCCAACACAATCACGCGTGAAGACAGGAAAAGGGACAAAAGGAAGCTTCAGTTTTGATTTTCACGCTGGCCGAGTCTGCGTGGTGCCTGGACGCAGGTGCGTCTCGGGAACAAGGACACGGGCCGTGCACTTGCACGAATCTACGTGCTCGAGGAACTTGATAGCCGGTTTAGCGTGTTTCGCGTGGTGTCATGGCTCGCCGTCTGTGGAAACCCGGCCCGCGGACGGCAGAGTGCCGCTGCGGCGAGGGGAGGTGTCGGGCCGAGATTAAACAATTGACTGGCGTGATAACGAGGGCACTTCCCGCCACTAAACTCATCCTGTCGTGTCGTCTAACCTACGGCTCTGGATCCACTTAATCCTCTGCTCATCCATCTGCCCTTCAACCATCGGCCCCATACTCCGTTGCGTCACACGCGACGCGGAATACCCAGACGAGGCACGAATCCTCCTCGCTCGGAGGCGCGTTTCCGAGCGACGAATCTCGGGAAACCTTGGATCGGCCGCGCACGACCGGTTATATCATCCGTTTACTTTAATTAATTTCATAATCGAGGTCGGCTGTTCACGCGATCTTCGGGCTCCCGGTTTCGTGTCGGATCTCTTTTTCGTGTTCCTCGGCTCGCGACCGCTCGAGCTTGATCACGCTGGGGATCATTTGCTAAAAGACATACTCGTAGCAGGCTTAATTTAGCTGGTTAAATCGTGGACGTGGGTAATAACTGTTAGCTACTCGCTGTCGTCGGTTTTTCGGTAGAAATATTCAACATTTTCTGGCTCAGTCAACACTAACGCGAAAATATATGAATGCTGTAGCATTCGTTTTCATTGTGACGCAAAATCACATGAATGCTATAACATTGAAATTTGCAATCTACTGTTGTTGTGAAATGAATTCTATATAGCCTTAACTTCTTGAAATGATTATGATTTTAAATTAAAATTAAAATTTGTACTGTCCGCGAACGTGTTAAGAAATAACGATATTTTGTTTGAATATTTCATTGATGCGTTATACGAAGGTTAACCGTTTAGATGCTAAACAATTTTTGTGGGTATTTACCAAAAATGCGGAAGTGATTGGGTGTGTAAAAAAATTAATAAGAGTACTTATCTAATGAGATCACTAATATTATGTTATTACAAAAAAATGACATTTATTGAAATAAATTTACTTTGATTTATTTCTTGAGCAATATAGTAAGAAAATTATAATTGATACTGATAAACATAAGCGCCTCCGCGCTCTCAATTTTGGCACAACACAAGAAGAGCGCTATAGCGCTTAGCACTTAAACGGTTAATGTTATTATGAACTTTATAATTTTCCTGCATCAAATTGAGTTGTGACTGACTAACCTCTCGAATTCGAAGGTTAAATATTTATCTTAGTTGCTATTTCGTTGAACTTGTTTCGATGACAATAATTGAACTTCTATATAATAGTCTATAATTTATTTTATGAAATTGTTAACGAATATCCTTAAAGTTCAACGAATATTCTAGTTTAAACCGCCACGAGTCCACAGCGAATGGAACGGAGGAGATAATTTCTTTTAGCTCGTCGCCGTGCAGATCATCACGGCGTGCCATTTAACTGACGATTTCCGGGCTCGTTTAACTTCAGCCTACAACCGCACGCTTAGATCTGCGGAGCGTGCCGCGACGCTGGCTCGGGGATGTCTAAAGTTTACGCGTTTACATAGAAAATAAACATTCCTTGTTCGTGTACACGGGAAAAGAATCTAGAGGCGTGTACCTGCCGGATGATGTCCAACTTTTTCCGCTGGCATGTTTGTTAACTCGGCGAAATGTTTGAAAGTTTAACGAGCTTTCCGTTTGGCTTGGAAATCTTTCACTTGGATCATGCAAGCATTTGGCATTTCGCGTATGAAAGGATACACGAAAGTTAATCTTGCAGTTTTAGTAGCGGTCGAACGATACATTCCGATTAGGTTGCATTCCGGTCGAGGCCCATTTAAGTTCAAGTTCGCCTCGATCCGACGTCACGTTCCGAGAAAGATCGGTTCAGCTCCGAGATTTATGGAGTACTAATGTCGATTCGCGTCTAAAGTTAACGCATTCTGTGCTATTTATACCCGGTGTGCAACGCAGTCGCCGTTCACATCGGAACAGCGGAACGCTGATGAACGATAATGACTCACAGTCATCGCGCTCCTTTTAATTAGAGTTCCAAGTAACAGAAACTCTGCCGGAGTTACCTGATGAAACCGCTGCCCGCGATAATCTCGACAGAAGTGACTCATTGTTTTTTCATCAAATCCCCGATAAAATTCGAATCTCTCTCTCTATGAATTTCAAGGCTTTTAATCCTTTCGCTAACATTGCAATCATGTGTATCAATTATTAAAGACTTTCCAGTTTCAAAATTCTTCGTTTCAAAAGACAGTTTCGTTGTGTTCGAATTTTTCTATAGATTTCCTAACGTTTCCATGAAAATTTAAGGAAGTCCCTTCGGGTCATTACGTTTTAACACGTTGAATGGTATGGGGGTCACCGGTGACCCCCAACCAAATCGAATTATTATAGCTCACTCAGTTAACACTAGAACTACCGTATCAGTCACAATGACAAGTTTCAGTTCTTCTGTTTCGCAATTATTGATATCTTCGAAGCATTTAATATTCGAAATGATTTTGAAAATAAGTAGTTTCACTTGAATACTATAATGAATGTCTGAAGAAACCGAAAATAATCTATTACTACAATATTCGTAGCGATTACATTTCAATCGTATCAAATGCTCGGTAGTTCTAGTGTTAAACTATGATTATTTGAAAAGATTTCTATATTATAATAAATGCTATCTAATGCGGTGACATACAGCTATATGAACGTGCAATAATAATAATGCAAGTCAATCGAATGATTTAATATTATACTTTTTCCATTTTCTGTATTTTGCTCTATGAAATCATTTAATTGGCATTTAACGTGTTAAACACTTGGACAATTTGTGAAAATGAAAGATTCATGTAAAAAGTTCGGACAAACGGTAGATTCTGCTTGTTGAGACAAGGGTTAAAGGTACTGGAGGACGAACGGGACGGAAAGACGAAGAAACGAAAGACGCGAACGCGATCCGGCCCAGACCGGATGCAGGCTAGTTGAAGGAACTCGGGCGAGCGGTACACGCGTATGAAAGCAGCTCCGCGTGACGTCTTTGTGCCCCAGATAGAACAATTTAGAAGCCCGGTCTACGGTGAAGTCGAGTTGTTTTAAGAGGGCGATCGTTGCGAATCGCCCGGGGAGTAATTGATCCTCTCTTCGCCGTGGCAATTTGCCCGAGCAGAAGTCCCGAACTCCGAAGTCAGAGACTCGCGGCGGGTCATCGATAGCGGAACGGAAGCCGGGTAACGAGCTGTCCGGATTTTTGCTAGGTCTTTTCGCGCTGACGCGAACGTGGACGTCAACGGAATCGCTAATGGCTGGCCGTCAATGGGTTGCTACCGTTAACCCCTTCGCAACTACCTTAGTACCTCGTACGGACCCTACATTTTTCATACCAAATTGACCTAGTTCATGCTTCCTCTTTCATGATTATTGGAAGGGTACTTTTGTATGGTATATGGAAATGTGGAAAACAGTTGTTTGGATTGCTTGTTACTTCTAGGAGTGGATAGAGATCTACTTTGTAGTTCTAGGACTAGGTGGTACCTACGTGGTACTTTTAGGACTAGGAAAAACATTCTTGGTAGTTATAGAACTAGATAGGTACGTCTTGGTAGTTCTAGGACTAGATAGGTACGTCTTGGTAGTTCTAGGACTGGGTACTAACCTATTTGATAGTTTTAGAAATAGGTAGAGATCTACGTGGCACTTCTAGGACTAGGAAAACCCTTCTTGGTAGTTCTAGAACTAGATAGATACATCTTGGTAATTCTAGGGCTAGGTACTAACCTACTTGGTAGTTCTAGAACTAGGTAGAGACCTACATAGTACTTCTAGGAGTAGGTAAAGTTCTACTTGGTAGTTCTAGGAATGGATGGAGACCTACTTGATATTTCTAGCACTAGGAAAAACCTTCTTGGTAGTTTTAGAACGAGATATGTATCTACTTCGTAGTTCTTAGACTAGGTACAAACCTGTTTGGTAGTTCTAGAATTAGATGGAGACCACTTGGTAGTTCTAGGACTAGGTAAAAACCTACTTGATATTTTTAACACTAGGAAAAACCTTCTTGGTAGTTCTAGAACTAGATAGGTATCTACTTGGTAGTTCTAGAACTAGTTAAAAATTTACTTGTTACTTCCAGGATCAGGTAAAACCTACTCGGCAATTCTAGAACTAGAGATAGACCTACTTGGTACGTCTAGAACCATGTAAAAACCTACTTGGTATTTGTACAACCACTTAGATACCCACTTGATAGTTTCAATACCAGATAAAGACCTCTGCATAAAATTACACTCGTCATTCTTTCTTTCACACAAATGATGACATCATCACAAAGACGAATCGAATGGCACACTCAAATGACGCGTCTACTCACCTATACTTGCTCCTGAGGACCTCTGCTCTGTAAATGATGATTCGTCTTCGATGAATCAGAGTCTATCGCCTCGGGATCGTGGCGTGTCGCTGGTTTCGATATCGTGATTACGTGGTCGTCGTCGCCTAGGATGAAGCTGGTCTTCTTATGGGGTTCTTTTGGCTTATGGTTGTCGCCCAGGCTCGACCTTCTCGAAGAGGGATGAGGGTGAGGTGGAGGCTCGCGGTAGCCTTCTTGTGACTCCGCGAATTTCGGGTGTCTGCGCAAAATGCAGAAACGAAATTAAACCTAATTGTCTTATAATCTTATATCTAATAACTCCTATAGCTAGAAACGTAAATTAAAATAGCGTCTAATGCCACTTCTAGTGAAAGAATCCTCCCCTAGTTTCGCCTTAATCTTCTAGAGTTTAAATTTAAGTGACTAAAGTTCACTGTATCTAAGCAATATTCGTATCCTTGAAAATCAGTGGAATGATTTTCCAAGTTGCGCATTCACTGCGTTCAGTCTACGAAGAAGAAGATGAAGATGGTAAGCGAGCTCGTTCACCTAGTCTCTAAATGCAGTCGGGACGGCGATTTCGGCGGAGGGTTGATGACAACTGGAATCTGGTCCATGGTCGTTCTCGAGCTGGATCGCCTAATCAGTTCCACGTTAGGCCGGGACTCGCTCTTCTTCGAGTCCAACGTGCCCCTCGACGACTCTTTGTGTATCTTCTTCTCCTCCTTGCCGTGTCCCCGGTTCTTCCTCAGCGTCGCGTTGATATCCTCCAGCACGCGATTGTAATCTTCCTGATGCCTAGCGTCCTCCTGCGCGTGGCCGACGGGGTGGGGCTCGGTATCCAGCAACTATGAAACGAGATAACGACGTTTAACGGCTTCTCTATAACGACCTGCACCCTCGAACCCCCGTGCATCATAACCGCAACACAGACATCGATCAGAGTTCAACTTTAACCTATCCTCGACAGCGAACTTCCATCTTCACGGACGGCAACCCTTAATCTCCGATTCCCTGTTCGCCGATCTCTCCTATAAACCCAGATGCAACTCGATAATAACAGAAATCCAGAACAGCAAAAACCATCAAAGATTACCGAGTCGCCTCAAAGATAACTGTAACGATCCTTCGTTTCCGTCCATCGTCCACATACCGGCGTGCACTTATCTACTAGAGAACTCGAGAACAGGGATCAGTCCGGGCTCAGTCCCGTCGTACGGAATCGTAGAAACGCCTCGATCTATCCTCGATCCTCTTCCAACCCGCTGAAACCCGAATCGGTCTCGGCGCGCGGCGCATAATCCCGTGGAATTTATAATCCCCGGTGGGCAATAAGATCCCCGCAAGGTGTACCTCGTTCTGCGTGTAAAAGACGGGCTGTTTCGCGTCGGTCTGCATGCTCTGCATACTCTCGCGTCTCAGGGAGCCGTCCGGGCTCGTGATCATAACTGGAATCGGAGTGAGCGGCGTCATCGGCACGTTCATGTGTAGCCCACCAGTCGACGATGCCAGGCTCGAACCGGATCCGGTGGTCAACGAGCTGCTGGACGCGTCTCGGTAATGAGGGAACCCGCTGGTGCTCATACGCTCTGAAATCATCACGGCGGAATCTAAATCTGCCTGGATCGGGACGGATCGAACGGGTCCGCGCACCGAAAACTCGCTCCGGCCAGGAATCTCGTTTATGAGTCACCGTAGGCCTCATCGTTAACCGTTTCCACGCGTTTTACGAACCGGCCGGAACGCTTAAGCGTCCCGTTGCCTTATCCCGGAACGAGACCGCGCTCGTGGGACTTTTTCATTCGGATACCCGATACCGGCACGCTCTCACGCGATTATTCACGGATCAACTAAGTATACAGGGTGATCCGTTCGACCGTGCCACGTATATTTTCCCGTGAACCGACCGGTCGAGCGGAGAAACCTTTCGAATGGAGTTCTTCGGTATCGAGTGGAATCGAGCTTTAGCCTTTGGTAGATGAGAAGTTCTCCATAGGAGAGTTCCTGTTTGATAAACGGTTCACAGATAGATTCCCGTTCACCCTGTATATCGACGTTTTGCATTCGGACGAGAAACTGAAGGAAACTCCCCCAGTCGGACACGCGTTATCGATGAACTCGTCGAAACGTAACGGTCCGATTCGAAGTTATATTTCGCTAATGATAATTGCTGGCGGATTTAATCGAGGTAATTACGATATCCCGTGATTAACGATTACGGGCGGTAGCTTGTTAACGGATTCACAGTTACATTTCGACCGGCGTTATCGGTAGTTAATCGAATTAGCTCGGTGCCGCGTGTATCGAAGCTTGTCGCGGAAAAATCGGAATCGAATCAGTGTTTCCAAGAATATGTGAGAACGTTTCGAAACGTTTCCCGCGATTTTCTGTTACTCGAGACGCGCGATTGTTCGCGTTCCTCGGTCGGCGTTCGTAAATACGAAAAGAAATCGCTCGAGGCAGCGCCGCGTGCCGCGATTAGCATCGCCACAGATTCAATGAACTTGATTCATGTTAATCGAGGTCAATTACATTTCCCGGAGCGCGGCGCGCGATCGTTAATAAGCCAGAGTTCAGTTTTTTACGATCGCCGGCCGTTCAAAGAACAGTTAACGCTTTCCCGCGGCTCGACTCAACGATCGACGATGGAATCGCGGTGGCCGATCCGCCTCGTACCTCCCTTCGCGCGTTGCATCGCTCTGATTTTGTCGAGATCGGCCGCCGAACAGAGGGGCGTGTCCACTTCGTACGTGTTGTTGAACAGAGTATAATTCACTTCGTACTCCCCGGTTTCCTTCTTGAACGTGATTATATGCTCGAACCTGTGACCCCATAATATTTCGGACGGCAGGTAAGAGCTCCTCGCCTGCGTGGTCATTCCTGTCGACTCGATCACGCCTGCAATAAATATCTTATCGTTAATACCGATACTCGTTTCCGCGGATATTCGCGTTGTTTCTTAACCCTCTATGGGCCGAATTTTTGTTCGCGGTCACAACAAAATCTATGCAGTATAAAATTAATAAATATCCACATATGAACACGAGTTAACAATGTATTCAATAGTTTCAATAATTTCATCAAACGAGTATATTTTGTAACTTTCAAGTCACAATGACGTTAAACTTTCACGCCTGAGCGTATAAAAGTTTAAGTTAACTGATCACTTAATTTTACTCACTACTTTGAGTGCAAAATGAAATAAATAAACAAGATTCCAATGTATTGACATGTGACTTGAAAGTTACAAGGGCCTACAGAGGGTTAACCGAGTAACTTCGTGTTCCTTCACCTTCGAGTATCACGACGATTTCGAACCTTTCCCTGAGCATATCGCTGGCGGATATGTGATAAAGCGGCGACTGTTCGTCGATCTTGTGAACGATCGTGGTCGGCCAGATGAAGAATATCTTGTCTTCCTCGCCGTCACCGCCTACTTTTAGTTCCGTCTGAAAGAACGGCAAGAGCTCCCCTTCCCTCGTCACCTGAAATTCGAACAAAGATCGTAAGGAACGCTCGCCGGATATTTAGAGGCTGATATTCGAACGCTTTCAGTCTTTTCCCGAGTTCCTTAGGAAATTAGAATCTTTCCTAACAGTAGCGATCTGTTTTCTTTCTTATGAAGTAGTTTGTGTTATGGAAATATGTTTGATTCGACGAATCGAGAATGTAAAGAGACTGAAATCTTAATGAACAGCTCCATGGTTTCTATAAAGGAATGTAGACTTCGTTCGACGAGAAATAGGTCTATTCTTAACCCTTTGCACTCGGAAGTTTTTCAGTAGAAATATTTGAACACTTTCTGATGAGATAAAGACGACGTTGTTTGAAATTTAACGATAATTCACAGATGAATTATGCAACGAAGCTATTTTATTTAAACATTTCACATTGCAATACAAAGTTTCATTTAACACTAAAACTACCAGAGGGGTCAAATGACCCATGCCTGATGTCTTCTTTTTGCAATTATTAGAAAGGTAACAAATGTTTCTCTGAGAAAGTATTAAAAAAATTCATTTAGCACTATGCAAATTCAATTGTGAATCAATTAAATTTGAACAGATACACTCTTGGAGTTTCTCTAGCAAAATTTTCAAAAGTCAACTGAACTGCTCGGTAGTTTTAGTGTTAAAATACTAAATAATCAGCTTCATAGTTTTGCTGTATCAAATCAAGTGACTGAGAGTCACCTTTCAAATGCAAAGGGTTAACTCGTGACCGGTCAGCAACGTGTTAACCCTTTGCACTCGGAAGTTTTTCAGTAGAAATATTTGAACATCGTCTGATGAGATAAAGGCGACATTGTTTGACACTAATTTAACGATAATTCACAGATAAATTAAGCAGAAGGGTGTTTTATTTCAATATTTCACGTAACAATGCGAAGTTTAATTTGAAATATTAAATATTCAGCTTCATAGTTTTGCTGTATCAAATCAAGTGACTGAGAGTCACCTTCCGAGTGCAAAGGGTTAAATGATCCCGAGAGTTTCACTCGCCTTCCTCTTGATCATCTGAGCCCTGACGTGGGCCTCGATGATGTGGCTCTTCCTCATGTCACCGACACGGAACATCAGACACGGCTGTCCGTCCCTCTGGCAAATGACGGCGTTCCGCGAGAACAGCAACGTCTGCGTCCTCTTCTTCGGCCTGGACAGCTTCGCGAACACTATGCCGACCATGAACGCCTGCAGGATCACTCCGGTCATTGATTGGATGCATATCACGAACACCGCTTCCGGACACTCGTCGGTCGGGTGTTTCGAGCCGTACCTAAAAAACGTAATCTTCTCAAAAACAACATTTTGTCCCTGCCTGTACACCGTCGAGAATTTCGAGTCACTTAGACTGCGAACTTGTCGCACAGCGTACTCGTCTCGGGATTATTCGAACTATAGAATGATCATTATTAACCATCGCATGGCGAATTAGTCGGATCGTGCGAAAGATGGAAGCTGTCGCTTCCGAGCCTCGAACGAAACTCGCTTCCGGAAAAGCTAAATACTCGGGGTATCGGCGCATTTTTTGATCGTCGGTTAACTGCGAGAACAATAATCTCATATAACCGATCGACGCAGCTCCGCAGTTGGACGGTTAATAAAATAGGCAAAAAACAGCCCCTTAAAAATCGGAAAATCCGTTAACTCCATCTCGAACACCGATGTTTGCTTAGATGCTGGATGATGTTCACGTACCTTTCTCCCTCGCTTTCGATTAGTCGGACTCCCTTCTCTTGACAAATATTAGTCGACGATTAAAGTTACGCAACGGAATAGCAACAGAGCGATACTTGGACCGAGAGGAACTGGGTCGCCGACGATCGCACAGGTCTCGAAACCTATCGTTATAGCTCGGATACTCATACATTATTTTTGATCTTTTCGCCTCGACCGTCTTTAGTTTGTCTAGATCTGTCCGCTTTCGTAGCTTGTCGGAAGCTCGTCCTAGAATTATCGATCCATCCCCTATCGCAAACGAAAGGGTGCGAACCTTTCAAACGAACGAAACGTTCCCCCGAATGCGGCAGTGATTTACGTTAGCGTCTGAAATTCGTTCGAATCACTGATCCAGCACGTTAGGTCCTGCCGGTGGTAGGTAGGTCTGTGAATTAGTGGTCTTAGTCACCCGATAGTGTGCTGCGTCTCGATCGAGAAGAGGAACGAGCTGGTGAACCCGCGGATGTCCACGATGCACGGGGTGTACGTGAGGTTCGGGTTCGAGTAGTTCTCCGGGTCGAGGTCGCCGTGGCTGTACGCGATCAGCCACCATATCAGGGCGAAGCCCAGCCAGGAGAGCAGGAAGTTCATGGAGAACACCAGCAGCGTCCATCGCCATTGCGCGTCTACCAGCGTCGTGAAGATGTCCTGGAACAGAACGTCTCGTCAACGATCCGAAGCTGCGCGCCGATCCGCGGGAGACTTATAGCGCCGCCTTCTATTCTTGAATTTCATTAGAATTTACAGCGTCTCGCGAGCGCCGCGCGGTGTTTACTCAGAAAACAACGGGGAATAATGTACTTCGATCCCTAATATCTTCTAAAATTTGCCAAGGACTATGCTGAAACTCGCGAAACGAATATAGGGTGCCGATGGATCAGATGAATCCCAACATTCACTTGTCCTTTCGTAAATTATTTTTCTGGAACATTCTTTTTCACTTTCTATTATTAATAGATTTTTTAGATAGGTATTTTTGTTTCTTCACTGTCAAACGGACGATCGGATTTGCTTGGTGTTTTAGTATGCAATCCTTTCTCGTGTTTCTAGGAGCGAGTTGGTTTGATTCTTTGTTTAGCAGTGTTCTAGTTTAATCAGGGATGCTTGTAGATTTCAGGGAAATGTAAGGGGATTGAGGTGTTTTCTTAATTGTTGAATACTTATCGTGGCAAGGTTAACCCTTTGTGGACGAAGATTCTCTAGAGCATACGAAACCTTTTGTAGATTCTGCCACATCACACATCAAATGCCTAAATAATGTAGAATAAGGAAATTAGGTGCTAGTTTCTTACTGTTTGAGTAGTTGAATCATTTGTTTGCTACTTAATATCACAAATATGAACGTTAGATCTCGGCAAAGTGTCGACATTCTTCCGCAAAGGGTTAAATATTGACCGGATACTACGAAAAAGGGAGAGGATCGTTGAAAAACCGCTCGATTCGGAAACGTGGCGAAATGGGGGATGAAATCGGGACCCGAAAATAGCGTAGCCGCGCGTTCGTTCGATTTTACATAAGAGAAAGGTAATTTTAGTTCCTTGGAGCTAAGAGGTCCCGCGGAATACACGTTTCTAGAGAATCGGCGGAGTCAGCTGTTCGAGAGGAGAGCCTCGCAACGCGTGGCTATAGGACCATGCAATTTGGCAAGTGGTTGCAATTAGAAAACAGAGTAGGAGATAGAGGAACAGACAGATTGAGAGAGTACCGGTGTCTGGTTCGAGCATCGAAATATGAGATGATCGATTACCTAGAAGGAAACTCCACGTTCCACGAAAGTTACAAGAGAACGTGAAATATTTGATTCCTGAATGTTCAGTTCCTACTTTCCTCCTCTCGATTCATTGCTTGTCCAGCAATTAACACTAGAATCACCAAATAAATCCAATTAAATTTCTAAATTCTTTTACTGATATTAAAAAGATAGCAAGCTTCTCCAAGGTAGAATCAACTTACCAATAAACTGAACCATAAGTTAATCATAAATTAATCAATGGTTAGCGAAAGAACTGCTACCTCGAGAAACACGCATTTAACCCTTTGGACTCGAAAGTATTTCGCTAGATATATTTAACATTTTCTAACTAGACAAACACGATGTTTTTTTTAAATGAACTCAAAATCACAAGTGAATTGAGAAACAAAGCTTCTTTATCCCAATATTTTACCGATGCATTATACATGGTTCAATATTAAATATCAAATTTTATAGTTTTACTGCATCAAACAACTATTTTCTTTTTTCTTCAATCTAATTCATGCTATCGAAATACACTATTGGTTAACCCCTTGACCCATATACTCTCAGACTTGCGAAGAAAATTTTAAACTGACTTCCTCGAATCTAAATGTTACTTATTCTTCTCAGATATAAACTAAATATTACTCTTCCATCAACGTTAACCTTCATAGTAAACATAAATCGAGCCTAAACATTTCTTATCTTCCTAATAAATCATCAACACTAACTTTACCGAACAAGGACAGTGATTCCCAACTCTTTATAAAAATTAGAACTAGATTCAATTGAAAATCTTTCCCAAAAATTCCGTCATAATTTAAGTACCTATCATTCATAATTTAACACTAGGTTTACGGAATGCGTCAAATTGACGCATATTGGATTTTAGAAATATTATTTTGTAAATGTTTACGCCGATTTTGATTGACGCGATCACACTGACATGTACCCCAATTACCTACTATCAAATCTCCAGTTTCCACAATCTAAATAAACGAGCATCAATTCTTTTAGGAATAATAGAATGAAGTACAATAAATGCCCGTAAACCTAGTGTTAAGTATCAAATCAAGTGACTGAGAGTCACCTCTCGAGTGCAAAGGGTTAATAAAAGTAAATAACAGTGTACAAATGAGTCGCTTCACGTTTCCCTGCAACTTGCACGCGAGGCGTTCTTCCCTGATCGGCGTCCATTCAAATCTCGGAGAGAGAGTCGGCGAACGTAGTCGACCGATGGAACACGAGGCTGACTCGGTTCGCCTTGAACGACGCGCGCGAACGGTGCGTTCGGCGTGGCGGGCTAGCACGGCCGTACGCTTTTAGAAATACTTTAAAATTACCTGAAGGTAACGGCGCCGTCGCTTGGCGACATTTCCTTGTACGACATTGCAATCGCCGTGCTTGAAAACCACCCTCTTGCGTATCCGCCTCGAGCTGAACCTGGTCTGCCGATATCTGAAAGCAACGATCCTACTTAACACCTAACGTTCGACACCGCGCAGCACACCTAGACACGGTGTCTAGTGGCTATAACATTGATTCGGACCGATAAAAACCTCGTTCCAACGGTCAGTTAACGCGAATTTATATCTGCCTCTGTTCCACAGCCGAACCTGAGGCAAACACTTCCCTTCGCGAAGGAAGGTTCGTTTCGATACTCTCTAACACGATCGAATCGATCATAAAAGTTTAGTACTATTTAGAGAATCTTCTGAAAACAGGAATTAAGGAGTTACGAATTTCCATAGCGATTACTGTTTTGAATATCGCGCTTCTCAGTGATCCAACGAGATTCATCCGACGATCACCGAAGATCATTTCTACATCTATGGTACTGTTACATTGCGGACCGGTAACGAGAAATCTCCTTTTACAAAGACACTTAGCTATACAACTTCATTACCACAGTATTGAAAAAATATAAAATTTAATTCGAATTGATTATCTATTTAAAATATATTACACAATAATATGATATCTGAGTTTTTCTATGTATAGTGATAGACAGAATAACTAGATCATTATAATAGAATAACTATTTTCTTTTTTCTTCAATATAATTCATGCTATCGAAATAAATAGTCTATTGGTTAACCCCTTGACCCATATAATCTCAGACTCGCGAAGAAAATATTAAACTGACTTCGTCGAATCTAAATGTTACTTATTCTTCTCAGATATAAACCAAATATTACTATTCCATCATATTTAACCTTCGTAGTAAACATAAAATGAGCGTAAACATTTCTTATCTTCCTAATAAATCATTAACACTAACTTTACCGAACAAGCACAGTGACTCCCAAATCTTTATAAAAATTAGAATTAGATTCAATTGAAAATCTTCCTCAAAAACGCCTTCATAATTTGAGTACCTACAAATTAAACGTTTTAACACATTGCGTACCGGAAAGAGAAATCTCGTTTTTATATAAAGACACTTAGTTATGCAACTTCGCTAATTATCAGAGCATTGAAAAAATATAAAATTTAATTCGAATTAATTTAAAATATCTATTTAAAATATATTACACAACAATATATCTAAGTTTTTCTGTGTATAGTGACATAAGTTGACCTCAGTGAAAATTGCCATCACAATTCAGTTTTCTGAAAACTAGCCGGTCCACGATGTGTCAACCCTTTGCACTCGACAATATTTTTCATTACAAACATTCATTATTTTCTGACGAAATATTAACAATATTATTTGCAACTTACATAAAGAAACATCTTGCATAAATTATGGGGCAGAGCTGTTTTATTTCTGTTTTATTTGTTAATACCTAATTCAACATTTTATTTTGAATTTTTCAGTTTATAATTTTCTTGCGTTCAATAAAATGGCGACCGAGAGTCGCCCCTCGAGTGCCATCCGCACAATTCGGTTTTCTGAAAATTAGCCGGTCCGCAATGTGTTAAGAGAATTGTCTTCTCTCGCGTGATAAATCTACTAATACCGATAGTTTCACAAGACATTCAGACACTCCAGCAAATCGAATTCAAATTCCTTCGAAGTGAATTATTCATCCGAACAGAGAAGATCTTTGTGGCGAGTCGGAACGTTTTTCAATGGAATCATTCGAATACGTGTTCAGTAAATCGTCCGGACGAGGCTTCAAAGGATCCTCGAGTGTTTCCGTGCACACCTGGCCGAGGTTCTTCCGGTTTTCCGTTCCCGCGGGAAAATGGAATCGCGCGGAACGGTGTTGCGTTCCAATGGAAGACGAGACGGCAGCCTCTTCTCTCCCACGGGTTCTCTAAAGGCCGTTTAAAACGGTAATATCGTCCGTCTCGGAAATATACGGAGCTTAATGCCAGAGGACGTAATTTACGGTCGGGAGCGGCGGGCCTCGTTCGAGCCAGGATGGACCGATCGGGGGCAATCTGCCAGAAAATCGACAGACGAACGCCTCTTTCCCCGATCATCTTCCGCGTCTACGTGATTCACGCGCCCGTCTACTCGTAAATCGCGGAGGAACCGCGAATAGAAAATCATCGCGGAAGGTTGAACGTTCTTGATGATCGGCGTACCATTTTTAACACTAAGTTTACGGAACGCGTCAATTTGACACATATAGCATTCTATAAAAATTATTTAATAAATATTCACATCGAATTTTAATTGATGTAATTACAGGAACATGTAGCCTAATGCTCTATTTTTAAACTATTAATTTCCAAGATCTAAATCAACAAACGTAAATCTATTCAAAACCGATAGAACAAACTGTATAATAAATGCCCGTAAACCTAGTGTTAACCCGTTGCTTCATTATTTCGAACGTCACTAGGTTAATTATCTCGTATAAATAACGATTTCGTAGAAATTAGGAAGAATCTTGTGGTTTGATCTTAGATTTAGAAGTGAGTTTTAATAGATATTTTTAGCTTGGGAGATTAGGATGATATTCATTCGATCGTTTGTTTTTAAGGCCTTGTCCTATGATTAGAATCGTTTTAACGTTAACAGAGAAACTACCAGAAATTGAGTTACATTTCAGTTTGCCTGGTGCTGAATCAATTTCTTTAACGATTTCTCAGAGAAACATTTTTTTAATAATCGCAGGAAGAGGACCTCTGGTAGTAATAATTCACTAGAAACGAAGAATTCTATATCCACGTTTATTCCGAAGCACAACTGATAACAGAAAAGCAATGCTTAATTTCAGCTGAATTGACAGATATTTTTAGCTTGGGAGATACGATGATATTCATTCGATCGTTTGTTTTTAAAACCTTGTCCTATGATTGGAATCGTTTTAACGTTAACACAGCCAACCGAATGGGGAGATTTCCCGCTTTTCATTTAGCGACGTATTTGCTTTTTATTCTGTTTATCTTTTCTTTTGTTATTTAGTAAGTTTTGAAGTGGGATTATTTGCAATTCATCAAATACGGTTCTTGCTTTTACAAAACACAGTTTCTAATCGAATTAATTGGATGAGTTCAATTGAAGATAATGGAGGAGGTTGTAGTTATAGCTCTTTTTAGGCGGTCGCCTAAGTGTTAACAGAGAAACTACCAGTTAAATTGAGTTACATTTCAGTCTGCCTGGTGCTGATTTCTTTAATGATTTTTCAGAGAAACATTTATCTTTTTAATAATCGCAGAAAGAGGACATCTGGTAGTAACAATTCACTAGAAACGAAGAATCCTATATCCACGTGTATTCCGAAGCTCGTCAACTGATAACAGAGAAGCAACGCTTAATTTCAGCCGAAGCTTCTACAGAGCAGAACGGTATTTATATTTTCTAATTTCTGTCCGAAGTCTCGGTCACGAGTCGGACGGGAGTCCGGGAAGATGTTTTCTTCTTTGTCTCTCGCTGTATTTCGGGAAGGACACGGCAAGGTTCGAAGCATTCTGTTTTCCAGTTTCCATTTTATTTTTCTTCCCCTTTTTCTGTCCGCGTCGTTGATCGAACATACAAGATCAAAGTTCGCGATTAAAGAAGATTCGTATTATTCCGCGAGCGAAGAGATCCGAGAGAATCGATTGTTTGTGTATCGTACAGCGACCGTTTGTTTCCATTTTGGTGGTCTCGTCACGTCTCAGCGAAACAATATTTTTCTTCGTTGACAGAGGGATCCAGCCGTAAGGTTTCGATGGATCTTTCACAATTCGATTCTGGAAGGAGAGACGCCTCGCGTACCGGCGTCTGCTCGGAGGATTTATTAGCCCTCGTCCCTAATTTATAAATCAAATCCGACTAATGACGAATCGCGGGGTAAACAGTGGCAGCGTCGGAGAGACGGTTAATCATCGAGTCTATTATTGGAGGCACGCCTCATTCGCGTGCTCTAAAAGTAGCGTCTTTATCATTGATCGGATCTCGGGTGAGGGTGAGTTCGATTCGCCGCGAAGTGGTTTCGACATAGACTTTCTCGCGAAAAGCATGTGCAACGAAACCGCGGCCCCGCGAATGTTTGCACGATCCCGTTCCATCCGGGCCACTGACGTTGGCCGTTTTATAGAAATGTTTACAGACGCGCGCGCGCACTGTTTGTAGCAGGAAACCCTATTAATCCGGGAAAAAGGAGACTCCTCGGTTGCTTCCAAGGATGAGCAACATTTGAGAAAAGAAAGCAAACCGATGCTGAATGGATGGCATCCGTGAAGATGAATCGTGATTTTTATGAATTGAAATGTGGTTAGTATTCAGGGATCATTGGAATGGAGAGTGGAGACGACTTTCATCGATTATTCAGTGCAATATTCATCAATATATTATTTCTATAGTATTCACTCTTAAACTGCAATCTTTTATAAACATTCTGTCTACGTTCGCCCTACAATATAATCATTGGTAACAGAGGAATAACGTCTAATTACAATTCAAGGTAATTGAGTAATATTTGTTTGTTAAATTCTATTTAAAATCTTCACGAGTCTCGCACGTTATTGTAAAGCAAGGGGTTAACACTAAAGCTACCAGATGGATCATAATGACCCATTCCCGATTTCTTCTTTTGTAATTATTAAAAAAATAACAGATGTTTCTCTGAGAAATTATTAAAGAAATTGATTTAGCAATACGCAAAGTGAATTACAAATTAATTACAGTCTCAATAGATACAGTCCTGGAGTTTCTATAGAGGAATTTCAAAAATTGATTCAACGGCTCGGTAGTTTTAGTGTTAACACATTGCGTACCGGTTAATTTTCAGAAAACTGAATTGTGATGGCAATTTTCACCGAGGTCAACTTATATCACATAGAAAACCTCAGATATCATATTGTTATGTAATATATTTTAAATAGATAATCAATTCGAATTAAATTTCACATTTTTTCAATGCCGCGGTAATTAGGCGAAGTTGCATAGCTAAGTGTCTTTATATAAAAACAAAATTTCTCATTACCGGTACGCAATGTGTTAAAATATCAACCACGAAATAAAATTGAGACCAGTCACTTCGACGGTTATAAACGATATCGCTGAATTCTTTCGG